TTTTTTTGGCCTCGAGGATCGTCCCCGAAAGCCTGCTGAATCTTGCGAATGGTTTACACTCGGGTATCGCCAAGGTTTTTGGCAAAATTTGATGTAATATCGCTGCTCACGCTGTTCAGTCATTTTCCAGCTTAGTGGAATCCGACGAGAGCGCACTACATGACCTCACTCATAGGCCTATTGCCAACGACTGACGCTTCCTGCAGGCGGGAAAAAATTCAGGGCTGTGCATGACTGTCCCCTCCACAACTTCACTGAAGGAGGCCTCTCGCGCATCATTGGTTTACACAAAAAAAAAAAAAATAAAGGTCCGATACTTTTTGAACAGACCTTGTATTCTAAAGCAGACGTATACTGAGGTACCACTGTAATAGTAAAAGGAGTCAAAGTTGTCAAATATCGGCCAACTCTGAAGCTGTGGTTGCTAGTGATTGCATTTTTACCAGGGCTGTGGAGTCGCGTAAAAATCTACCGACTCCGACTTTTCCTTACCATCTGACTCCGACTCTGACCAGGGGCGGATTTGTTACCAAAAGAGACCCGGAAATTCTGATGTCATTACGTGACCTCAGAATAAAAGATCCAATAAATAGAGTTCTAATAAAGATAGAGCATAGAAACTTTTACTTAGAAAATTTTTAGAGAATTAGAGAAATATTACTTAGAGAAGTCTTTTAGCTTTGGAATAGCTAAAAGACTTCTCTAAGTAATATATAAATATGTATTCGATAATTTTTACTTTTCCAGTTGTCATATATAACAGAGGAAAAGTGTAGTGCTCGGTCAAAAAATGACCCCTCCCAAATTTTTACATTTTTGAACTCGGGACACCTTGAAATTTTGAGAGATAGAAAAAACCTCGAATCTTTTGTATATGTTTGGATGTTAGACTGTGTGGGGAGCGGGGCATGATTTCGTTCACCCTGTTTGAAGCCTAATAATTTCTGTGGTCAGAATCAGAGTCAGATGGTTTAACACAGCAGTTAGTTATTTAAGTCAAAGTGGTTGAACTAAATCATGTCCCCATATATGTTCTAACATCTTAAGCGAGAACATCTTAACGGGTTTTACTGTACTAGTATAAAATGGCAAAAAGCTTACTTTGCGGGTAAAGATGAGTGTTATTTTATTTTTTTAAATTTTGAACGCTAATAACGAGTAAAATATTTATTAAGAGATATGACACGTGACCACTTTTAGGTCTTCACCCTGTCGACCTTTAATTAAGAACCAAAATTTAATAGTATTAATGCCCCTTTATATGCGAGCTACAGTGCCACATTTCATTTCTTAAACTTTACCCGTTATGAGATATTGTTTAATATCTCAGAACAGAAAATAAAGAAATTAAACAAATTAGACGCCAACACACATGCGCTAATTTTTCCCTTTATTGACTTTATTGAGGGGTTCGGGAGGTCTCCAAATGCGTAGATTTGCAAAAAAAAACTTGGTGGGTGAAATTTGACATGATTCCGATACTTTTCCGTTTTATATACATAACAGGTTGGTAAGTAAAAAGGAGTCTGAGTCGGTGGATTTTTTGACGACTCCGACTCCGACTCCGGCTAAAACATCACAGCTCCGACTCCACAGCCCTGGTTACAATTGTAATTTTAAAAATGTACTTTTTTAATGAGAATTTAATGAGCCTTTAAAAATTGGAAATATATGCATTTTCTGAACTTCATTGTCCACATTTTTCTTATTTCATTCATATATGAAGTGCATATGACTTTATTTGTCTGTTTTCTAATTTGTTTATTTTTAGAAAAGGTTAAAATTACAAAACAGAATACTTTAACATAATTTCATGCAATCTGTTGCTAATTTTTTGTTGTAAAACAATTACTGAATTTCATTATCTTCTCTTTACATGCTAAATTTCAAGAGCATCTGTTGTTTTGTTTATGGAACAATGTTCTTAATCCTTCTCCCATAGGAAACCTTCTAAATTTTGCAGTAGAATAGTTTATTGTAATTTCAAGTGGAAATAAATGAGAGGGGAGCTGAGGTGTCTTCAGAAGGACCAGAAAATGATTTTTTTTGTATATTTTGAGCACAAAATAAAGCAAAAAAAAAAATTTTTTCATTGATTGAAGATCATAGTGCCACCAGCTATCTTATAGAGACAAGCATTCAAGGTTGTAATGACTTACAGAGCACATATGTCATTATGCCATGCATAGCTGACAAACATTCATGATGGCATTGACTACCCTTTATGACAGTTGTGAGATATCTTCATGATGTCATTTCTGATGACATGGCGATCTTTTATAATTGTGATGAAAATGACTTCGGATTAGAAAATTGCCATCTTATTATAATGAAGATAAAGTTTGG